TCTGAGCCAGAGTGTTAATTTGGAAATCTGGAGGAGGAAATGTAAAGAAGTCAGAAACAGATCATCACAGAGGCTGCTATATAACAGAGATTGAAAACTGATGAAAGACATTCCCAACCCTCCACAGGAAACTGAGTCGAAAGAACTCCCCGTTCCAAGCAATGAAAGCCAGGCGATGCATCATTCTCACACATCTCAAACTAAAAGCTGGGGTGAGGTTCCTTTGCAGATTGAAGCTACAGAAGTGATTTCAATAAAAAATTGGAATTTCAGATACATCTGAAAATACACATACGCACACACACACACACACACACACACACACACACACACACGCACGCACGCACACCCACAATCAGAAGTGTGTGTTTACAGTGTAAGGTGCGCAGTATCAAGGCCTAACATCAATCTTCTCTTCTCCCTTGTGATTGATATGGAGAGGGAGTGTGTAGCAGCACTTCCCTCACACACACAGAGACACACACATCTCCCGGTGACAAACAGCAGCGTTTAACACCCTGACACCTCTCTGCTCCAGCGTACCTGTCGCTTCACTGCACCTAAGTCCAGCTGCACTGAATATTCCCAGAATGCCGTTGTGGAAAACGGGAGGACCTTTGACAGAGTGCCACATCATGCCTGTGTTTGCTGGGCTTTATACGGATCTCTAATCATGCAATTTTGTATTTTATACACTTTGAGCATCATGTTTCTATGGGTGGCATTCAGTCAGCCGTCTCACCACAAAGATCTCTCTACAGCTGCTGAGGGGTTCAAACATTCATGGTTCCCAGAAGATGAGTAAATAACATCCAACATGTTCATATACATACGTTTTTAAGTCAAATTTCAATATTATTTAAAAAACAATTAGATGTATTGCGATTGAGATCACGTCTGGTTTAGACATTCATGACCCTCTCAGGATTCATTTTGATTTATATATTGATTTATTGGCGCTCAATATATTGTTCTTTTTACACTGTAAATCCTGCTCCACACTACCTTTTTAAATCTGTACATCTCTCCACTTTGAATTTAGTAATCGTCATATTTGATTTGACTGCACTCAGTTTCTTACATATGTATATGTATGTAAATATTGTCTTTATTTTTAATCTGTGAAAATAGCTTTTATAATAATACTATTCTTTGCTCATTTCTTTAAAAAAACGTATGCTTCTTTTTGTATCTTTGTACATTTTGACTTCAGTTTCATGTTCTGTGTGATTGTCAACTTATTTCACTCAACTGTATTAGGTTAGTTGAAAGAAATAATGTTAGACTGAAATAAAAAAATCCTAGCTTCAACGAACCAAATAATGTGTAATTGCCTTATGGTGCATTCATGTCCCGCTTGGGATAATTGCAATACATATTGTAACCCCCACCATCAGGCCAAACATTGTAATAGTTCCAATCCTTTTTTTATTTTGTGTTTATCTCCAAACACCCCCCCCCCATTAGCCTCAGCACAGGAGCTGGTGTGCCCTATAATTATGACATCTGTTCATCATAATGCAGCGACAGTCTATCAGTGATGTCTCAGAATCACACTGAGTCTAATTACACAGAAAGAAACATGTCATGTTATCTTCACGGCCAAAAGATTTCAAAGTGAAATGACGCACGATTAAAAAGTGTTTATGAGCGTTGTGCTTGCTGCGGCTGAACAGAACCAGTGAACAGCGCATTCAGTATGTCTGAGTTCATTTGATGAACTTACATATGGTAACCAGCTCTTTCCATCGTCTCTCATTACTCTGAATTAATAACAACAAAAGCATCTTCTTCATCTCTTGCCAAATAACAAATGACTTTCCTTCAGCTTGATGAGTCGTAAGAAACAAGGGAAACTTTCTGTTTTCACATTTGACTTATCCGTCTCTTCCTGTTGCTAAATACTTTTGATACCAAGACTGAGATTATACTGGGCTCACCCCTCCTTTCTTTCATCTCTACCGTTATCCCTCCTTCCCTTCCTTCCATGCCTTTTGAAACTTTGATGCATCAGAATATTCTGAATATCAGACAGGGCTTGAAGATAATTTGATAAATCATTACTTGTATTAAAAAGTAATGATGAAAATAATGAAATGGGCAGACGATCTAAAGAGGGATTTTCAAATCATTTGAAGCCAGTTTGATAAACAAGCATGTTTACAGACCATCTGATGAGAAAACAAACACTTTAAAGAGAATGTAAAGCTTCCGTCACACACACACACACACACACACACACACACTTTTTTGGTGGGGAAAAGCCTACCTTGATCGTTTGCCATCTTGTCAGGATGTTCAACTGAAACAAAAACAGAGAGGGTCAGCGAACTTATGAAATATAAAACAAAGGTATACACTGCAGATTAAGCCACTCTTGATCTTTCGTCTCTCGCACACACACTCACACACACACACACACACCTAGCATGACTATCCTTGTGGGGACCTAAATCTGTTTACACAGTCACGTGTGGGGACTCACCTCCCGTATGGGGACATAATGGAGGTCCCCATTTAGGGTGAAGACTTGGTTAGGGTTAGGCATGTATTGGTTCTGGTTAAGGTTAGGATAATTCTCCAGGAAATGTAATGTCCCCTGAAGTGATGTAAACATGGTGTGTGTGTGTGTGTGTGTGTGCGTGTGTGTGTGTGTGTGTGTGTGTGTGTGTGACATAATCCCCTCTGAATTTCACTACACTCCTTCAATTGCTGTGACTTTGGAGGGAAACTAAATTGATTTAAATGTCTACACACCAGTGTTGGAACGCGTTACAGTAACGTAACTACTTTTGCCGGGTACAAAGTAGTGTAACGCGCTACTACGGAACATTTGGTAACGTAACGTAGTTTCTTCTTCAATTCGCCGCAACGTTACTTTTCCCAAGGACGAGTGACAGTGACACTGCCTACTCAGCAGTGTGCTTACTGTAAACCGCGATCGTTTTTCTCGCGTCCAGGAGAGAAGCTTAAAAAGGAGACTAAATGGAGTTTCTGGTTTCAAGGCAGGTCACTCCACAGAAACTGCTCTCATTGCTGTCACGGAGGAACTGCACACTGCCAAAACTGCATCCCTCTCCTCTGTCATCATCCTGTTGGACCTGTCTGCTGCATTCGACACGGTGAATCATCAGATCCTCCTTCACACTCTTCAAAAACTTGGAGTGTCAGGCTCTGCACTTTCCCTCCTCACCTCATACCTCAAAGACCGTACCTACAGGGTTACTTGGAGAGGGTCCGAGTCCGACCCTTGTCAATTAACTACGGGGGTCCCTCAGGGCTCTGTTCTTGGTCCCCTCCTCTTCTCCTTGTACACAAACTCGCTCGGATCAGTCATTAGCCCGCATGGTTTTTCTTACCACTGCTACGCTGACGACACCCAATTAATTCTGTCCTTTCCCCGCTCAGAGACCCAGGTCGTCGCACGCATCTCTGCTTGTCTAGCTGACATCTCTCAGTGGATGTCTGCTCACCACCTCAAGCTCAACCTTGACAAGACTGAGCTGCTCTTCCTCCCGGGAAAAGATTGTCCAACTCTTGACCTGACAATCAACATCGGCACCTCAGTTGTTTCCCCGACTCAGACTGCAAGGAATCTGGGTGTGACCCTAGATAACAATCTATCCTTCACTGCAAACATCGCTGCTACAACCCGCTGCTGCAGATACACGCTTTACAACATCAGGAAGATACGTCCCCAGCTGACTCAGAAAGCGACTCAGGTTCTGGTCCAGGCTCTCGTCATCTCACGCCTAGACTACTGCAACTCCCTCCTGGCTGGTCTACCTGCATGTGCCATCCGACCTCTGCAGCTCATCCAGAATGCAGCGGCTCGTCTGGTTTTCAACCTTCCTAAATTCTCCCACACCACTCCGCTCCTCCGCTCCCTTCACTGGCTTCCGGTAACTGCTAGAATCCACTTCAAGACACTGGTACTTGCTTACCGTGCTGCGAATGGATCTGGCCCTTCCTACATCCAGGACATGGTTAAACCGTACACCCCAGCGCGTGCACTACGCTCTGCATCAGCCAAACGACTCGTTGCGCCCTCGCTGCGAGGGGGACCCAAGTTCCCATCGGCGAAAACACGTGGGTTTGCTATCCTGGCTCCAAGATGGTGGAATGAGCTCCCCATTGACATCAGGACGGCAGATAGCTTGCACATCTTCCGGCGCAAACTGAAAACTCATCTCTTTCGACTCCACTTCGAGCGTTAGAACGATTAACGAAGCACTTTTATACCAATAAAGGACTGGATTACCTAAAGCCAGTTGAGTAGCACTTGAAATGTTTGGCTCTATGAAACTTGATATACTTATATGATTCTGTTTTCTTCAAGGTTGTGTCTTCCTGGTCGAATGTACTTATTGTAAGTCGCTTTGGACAAAAGCGTCAGCTAAATGCAATGTAATGTTTCTGAGAAGGTTCAAATTGTACTTTAATAAAACATATGGCGCGGTAATGTTACAAACAGGATATTGTTCAGTCAGAAGAGAAAGGCTGCAGCTTCCTCTCCTCTACCAGGTGCTGGCCGTGCCGAAGAGAGACCACAAGCCTTCGTCTTTCCCGCTTGCTGGCTGTTCGCTCCTCCTCTCTGTGAGCTGTAGTGACGTAGGGGACTTCCCCCCTCGTTCGTGTCCGATATCGCGTTAAACAGAGGATTTCGACATTTTACATTAATTGCTTACTTCCACATGCCTTTTCTCCTCCTTATCTCTTTCATAACGTTATATGTAATACATGTTAACGGCGTCAATAGCCACTTTAATGATACTAATGGACGGTAGTCCCGGAAGTCGTCATGAAGGATTTTCAGAATAAAAGCTTGGTATTGCGAACTTCCGTTTTTTTCCAGAATAAAATAGCATTTAAACTGACGGTATGTTTAAGGTACATTATGCCATAAAACATTGATTTTAATTTCTAACATTACGCATTAGGCACGAGCTCTCATTCCACACTGTACGTGATAGAGGCTGGCCGCTGGTGGTGGCATGAAGACTGAAGAGCAGTGATGGCAAGCGAGAAGCAGGCGCAGCCAACGCTAACATTCGAGGGATGGAGGTATTCCCATTACTTCGAACTTGTTGAAACTAAGGGGAAAAATGTAAGTGTAAGGTGTACGTTGTGCCCTGGCCAGAAACTTGTGTCCACTGCCGTTAACTCCACTGCCAACCTCACCAAGCATTTGAAAGGAAAACATGCTAGCAGGAAGCTAGTAGCTCAAGATCCCCGGGGAAATGATGATATTTCGAGTCCAAGCCTATTTAGTAGCCTATTGATATGATTTGCACTAGCTTTGCACCTATTTTGGGGCTAGCCTGTAACCCTTAATGATTATGATTTTATATTGATATTGTTTGATATTATTGTTTAGTGGTGGTGTTGACGCCTATAGCCCAATGTTTTGTAAAGTGCTCTGTGGCATTTTTTTTATAATAAAGAGCACAAAAGAAATATCTGTTATGTCCTCCATAGTAGAACTTTATGTAAGCCTACACATTTAGGAACAGAGATGGGGTTCTGCCCAAAGTCGACCAACATAAAAGTAACATAAAAGTAACGAGTAACGTAAAAAGTTACTTTCCTTGGAGGGTAACTAAGTAAAGTAAGGGATTACTTTTTTAAAGAAGTAACGAGTAACGAGCAAACACTACTTTTTAAAAATAACTTCCCCAACACTGCTACACACACACACTCTCTGACTGACCCTTGGCAGTCCTGAAGTGGACCGGCTCAGACAGCGGACCCACTCCCTTGGCGTTCTTGGCCTGGATCCTGAAGTAGTAGACCGTGTCCAGGTTCAGATCCACCACCTGATGGGTCAGTCTGTCCCCTGAGATGGCCTCCATCACCCAATCATCGATCGGCATGTTCTTGTCCAGCGTGTAGTACAGGATGTACCCTGACAGACAGACAGTATAGGATTATAGAGTCATATCTGCAATGTTAGCATGAGATCAACATGACCACCTCTTATCCGGTCTGTAATAAAAAGGATGTTAAATGGTGATGTGAACTTCAGGTTAAAGTTTTGTAAATTAGGACAGAAGACAATACATGAAACTATAAGTGTTAATTAAGTCTAAACAAGTTTCACCAAGGCTGAGAACACAAATGCAGCCTGTACTTTTGAATAAAAACAGATTTTTAACAGAGTTGATGTATTTGTGATCATACTGTGTGACCTGCTTGTTTACACAATAGGTGTACTGTTCTCTCTGTGCTGTACTCTCTCAGTGTGAACATAGATTAAACAGCCAGACAAACTCTTTTGAGAGCCAGGGAATGAGCAGCCATGCTCCTTTATTGAATTATTTGCAGTCCACTGACATTCAAACGGAGTGAAACTATAAAAAAAGAAGTTACAAGGCACTTAATGATCTCATACATGCAAGTGTAACATACACAGATTAACACATAGGACCGCTAAGTGTAAACAAGGTAAATATAGCTAATGCTAGCTGTACGCTAGCATGTATGCTAACGCTACAGTGTATGCTAACGCTACAGTGTATGCTAACGCTAGAGCGAATGCTAACGCATGTTCTCATTGTGTTTAAACATCTCCACATGTCATCACATAAACACAATACATGTGTTACTAATCCTTACAGTGTAAGTGTAAGGCTCACACTTACAGTCATTGCTTTCTGACGGACTTGACCCTTACTCTTCAGGCTGCATAGGGAAAATGAGTGGCAGTGCACTCATGGATATCTACTGGTCTACTGCATGGATGTATAATAGGTCTACTGCCATGCTATTCAGTTCACTTCCTCCTACTTCCTGTACCCGGGTCTAACCTTCAGTACACATTTTACAAAAATATAAATGTGCAAATATGAAACATACAGGTCAATGTCACCTTGCTATTGGTAGCTGAACTGTCAATACCCCAAAACATATTCTTAGATATAAATACCTTGAGTTATTTAGACACAATTAACACTTATAGTTTCATGTCTTGTTACATAAGAATAGATCATATTTGTTAAGTGTTATTATGGGAGAATTGCTATTCTTGTGCTACTACTGCCTTATTAGGCCCATATTGAGCAGCGCATATTAAGACCAAAACTCATGTTCAACAACTTCCTTACTTGCACAACACTAATTAGAGGGTTATTGAGGAACAACTCTCAACTAATGGCTTATTACTTGTAGAATATGGTCATGTAGAATAAGGCATTAATAAGTGTTTTATAATGACTAATAAAGAGCCAATATACTGCTAATATACATGGTAATTAACAACTAGTTGATGGTGAATTTGTGTACCTTAAAGTAAGAGAGAGAGAGAGAGAGAGAGAGAGAGAGAGAGAGAGAGAGAGAGAGAGAGAGAGAGAGAGAGAGAGAGAGAGAGAGAGTGTATAAAGTGTTACCACTAACATTTATCTCTGGTCAGTAGTGTGTGTGCACTGCAGTAGAACAGTAGTGTGTGTGCAGTGTAGTTGAACAGAATGTGTGTGCAGTGTAGTTGAACAGAGAGAGAGTGTGTGTGTGTGTGTGTGTGTGTGTGTGTGTGTGTGTGTGTGTGTGTGTGTGTGTGTGTGTGTGTGTGTGTGTGTGTGTGTGTGTGTGTGTGTGTGTGTGTGTGTGTGTGTGTGTGTGTGTGTGTGTGTGTGTGTGTGTGTGTGTGTGTGTAGTGTAGTTGAACAGAGAGTGTGTACCTTGGAGTATAACATAAGATATATTTCACAGCATTCTAAAACAAGGTATTGAACATAATGTGAAAATAAAAAGAGTAGATAATTAACAAATAGAAAATACAACATCTCAAAATAGAAAATAAAACAGAACTAAAAAGTCAAATATAAACAAGTTGACAGGGAAAGATACAAATCTGTAGACTGTCAAATAAACACAATGAAAGGCCAAATTACAGCTCACAATTTCAAAGTAAGTTATTATTGACATTATGTTTGAAAGGAATAGCATATTAAATTAAATATAATTGTAAAATTACAGTGTGAACAAAATCCAAGTTATAAGTAATAAGTCCAGTGATGTACTGTGATTGGTGCGTTGTGTAAATCCTCACCTGTGATTCGTCCGTTAGCCTCCATGGGCGGTTGCCAGCTGATTAGAATGGCGCGGGGCCGTCCCTCCCGACTGATCACTGTCAGGTCTTTGGGGGCAGAACTAGGAGCTGAGCATAATGGAAAGAAAAAGAGCGCAGATGAGTATGAGCAGTACAGGATGACACATCTTTAGGTTCTACGTATCCAAGGTCAACCAGAGTTTATTGTTTAGGAAATCATATTTCGTGGAACCAAACAACATCAGTGTGCATGCTTTTTGGAAATGTGTGTCGGATGCCGTCACCTATCCTCTTGTGGCTTCAGAACGTTTGAAACCCAGAATTAGACCCCTCAGCGACTGTTTGCTGAGACTTTCTTGTATTCCAGTAACTTAGTTTGAACTACAGGAAACTGTTTCCTGTTAGTGCCCCTGGTGTGAAGATGTCATGCATTCAGCAGCGCCTCAACAGGACTCAGGTCTGTTTCTGCTCAGCTGTCACCATGGAGTCACAGGTGGAACTGAGCAGTACCAGGACAGACCTCACCGCGCTGGATAATAAGTACGTTGAGGTTTGAACACTCAACGCTGTCTTCAGTTTATATTTAATGCTGTAATACTGGATAATGACTCTGCCTGATCGGATTAGAATAACTGTAAACCCAGTTTGAAATACAATTCAACATTTGTACATTTCAGAACAGGGAGCATTATCCTCATGTAACTAAACCCAAATCAAAGCATTTTTGAAATGCTGTTAATGTAGTGTTCAGTCACATGACCGCCTGCAAACTTTCTAAATTGCTAATTTACCAGTTCAGAATGTTCTCTTTTTCTTTCGCAGAACTTTCTTCACGGTTTAAAATGTAAATGGGAGTAACAATGTGTACCGATGGTGGTATCACTATATCATATACATCATTAGGGGTTTTCCTCTGGGGAGCCAGAATTCCACAACAAATCTAATGTCATTAGGTCCTGTGCACTGAAACAACGGAAACGTTGACTTTAATTACATGTATTATGTCAACAAATGTCACATAACTGTATCAGGTTTGTTGAAAGCAATAATATCAAGTTTAAATAAAACATATTAGGTTCAACTTAATTATATTGTTTTCGACTAGCCTTAAACAGTTATATGGTGAGAGATTTGCTGAGACCAAATGATATCTCCATTATCTCCAAGGCAGCAGGTTATAACCGACATGTTCTATCAAATGTCCTCAGCTGATGTCTTCTGGGCAGCGAATACTGAACATTAGGCAGAGGAGTGCAGCTGCAGTGGAGGCAGCTTGTTCTATGTCTTCTGTGAATGTGGTCAGTGTGTGTGTCCAGAGCTGTGGAGCACTGAGGGGCTGAGTGGGCTCCGTCTGCTCGCTCTGAATGTCAATGTAATCCAGCGGGCCCCGGGGGGCAATGTCGTTCACGCTTAATTGGGTGACGAATCCGACAAACATGATTGTAAACATCCTGAAAGGATACCTTGACATTCTGATTTGAGTCTGTGGCTGGGTTTCACTGTTGCAGACAATTGCCTTTTTAGCAGGGTTTCTGCACCTCACTGAACCCAACAGCTTTTCTGACCATTTTTAAACCACTCATTAAAAGTTATCAGTGTTCAAGGAAAGAAAAGTTCCACCCACATATTGTTTTGGTGAACAGCAGTTGTTCCCTGCATGTCAGGCAACAAACTCTCCACCTCTTCACTGACATTGTTTTACATGTCAGTGAAGAGGAACATCACTTTATTCAAACTGAAAAAAGAATCAACCAATTACTAGAATTCTAAAATATATATTATTCTGAAATGGACCAATCTGCACAATGACTACTTTCACTTTTGGTACTTTAACTATACTTTGATGATAATACTGTTCTTCTTTTACTTGAGTAACATTATGAATGCAGGACTTTGACTTGTATCAGAGTATTCCCACACTCTGGTACTTCTACTTTCACTCAAGTAGATCTGAGTACTTCTCCCCCCTCTGGCAGCTTCATGCATGCTTCACCATCATTGGCTCATGCTGTTTAGCCACTAGCTGACGTCCAGTCATATTCCTGCATGCATAGAGCATCACATGACATTACTACCTCACATGTCTCACTATGACTCTGCAGATTTTCTCCCACAGCTCTCTCTTTCACTCAATCCTCTTCAGTAAGTGCTAACCTTTGGAATGATTGATTTAACATTTCATGTTCATATATGATTCTAACCATCTCTGATTCTGCACCATCACTCGTTCCTTAGAGAGATTGGTTCTACAGCAGAACTCTTGTTGCTGCTCACACTGCTGAGAAGCTTTTCCTCCAGATGTTTCCGTGCACCAGCTGTGATACTGTGTACTACTAATCTACACAGTACATTTGGTCCAAATTGACCAACTACAACACTACACTACAAATGCTGTAAACAATGTCTCAGATTACTGGTTTCAGGAATAACTGCAGTGAAAATACAAAGAATAGACACTATAGTCCAAAATGAACATGGTTGTCATGTGGTTGTGTACTATCTGATGGAAGAGGGTAGGGTAACCCTTTCATTCCCTATGGCCATCGTTTTTGACCGGGAACACCAACATTCAATGAAAGTGCTGATCAGCAAGCTTATATGTTCACATTCCTACTGTGGAGTATATCATAAGGCCTTGAGACAATCAAATGTAAAACACAATATTTATCATTTATTAAAGTGGTAAATGAGTCAGATCGGACCCGAACACGACAGGGGGGAGATGCCGGTTTGGATGGGGAAATAAAAGCGTGGCCCCCGGCCTCACAGGAGATCTGTTGTGCCAGTGGGTCCTCAATAGAAACACAAGTGTGTGTGTGTGTGTGAGTGAGTGAGTGACACACCTACCTGCTTCATACGTTGTTGCGTGCGCTGTCATACTCCACGTACTGGACTTGCGACCTTTGGTTACCATGACAGCGAACTCGTACATGGTGTTTGGTTTGAGGCCGGTGACAGTGTGGCTGAGCGCCGTGGTGTCTGCAGACTGGAGGAAACGAGTTGTACAATTGAGATGGTTTTAGATTTGAACTGAAGGAAATGGTTAGGTGTTTTTAAACACAAAACATTAAAGCTGCTGTTACATTTATTCTATACCTTATATAAAAACATTGGAGACATAATTAAAAGAATAATACTAAAGAGTATTATGGACACACTCAGTCTGTTCTTGTGTTTACTTCAGATGTATTCTTCAGCCTTCAATACCAGTTAATAGAAATAAACCCTGGCAGATGCAGACACTCAGGTGTATGTTCACTTTCAGAACAGACTTCTGTTGGTCTTCTTGGCTGTGCTGTACATAAAATAAAAATAGCCTACAGTAGAGACACTTTACAGCAAATACAACAGCACAGATTGTTCAGAATATCAGTATGAGAAAAACGACACCCTCTATCCTTAGACCCTCACATCGTACAAGGAAAAACTTCCAGAGAAAACCCACAGTTTAAAGGGAACATGGGAGAAACCTCAGGGAGAGCAACAGAGGAGGGATCCCTCTCCCAGGACGGACAGACGTGCAATAGATGCCATGTGTAAATCCAAGAGATAATACATTTTACAGCATATAGACCGAATGTTAGGAAATGCATGTGTCTGTAATAAGAAGATGAATCCACGAGGATATCAGCTACAATCCTGTGGAAGCCATCAGGGAAGCAGCATGACGAGACCCAAGGCAGGACCGCAGAGACAGGTTCAGCCACGACCCAGACATTCTCTCCACGCCGTGGATTTCAGGATAAGAAAGAAAGACTCCCCTCTCTCCGTCTGCCTGCAGTTTATTAAGGTGAGCACACTGTGTGCCCTGGTATAGATTTCCTATCTCCCTGGTTTTTCAAGCATACTTCAGATTATGAAGTCCAGAGAAGAAGAGAGATCTCACCAGCGAACAAGAAAAAAATGACAAGACCAGTTTTTGTCTTGGTTTCAATACAACCAAGAGTAATCCAGGTAATGTTTAACCCTGTTACTGCCAAACAATCAAACTCCTTGTTTCTGTCAGCTGGGGATTATTTCTTAAGAAATGTGTTGATGAACAAAAGATCGATTCTCCATGCTCAGATCCATGTTTCTCTGGTGTGAAACTGATGCTCCTTCAATAGTGTTTACCGAAGAGGAGGGAGCGGGAGGTTCATCGTGTGCTCTGCCAACTTGTTCACAAGTTGAATCATAGAGGGGCATGATAAATACATAGGATACACTTATGGAATTCATTGCAGACATAAAACCTTGTGTGTTGAGTGTTGAGCTCATAAGAGAGCAGAGGCGTGGCATTGTTGTGCAAGTCTCACATGGCAAACAGGTTCAGGTCCTGACCCCTGACAGAAGGCAGGGTTTTGTCTCCATCTTCTCCTTTGCTGTAACAACGTACATTTCCACTTTGTGGGACGAATAAAATAATGCTGATTCTGATTTAGGAAGTCAAGTCAAATCTAACTCCAACACAATCATGAGTGTCTCACACCTGGCTGAGGTTAGACTACCGAGTGATGGGGAAGCTGGGCTCACCTTGTACTTCCCGCTGGTGGAGTAGCTGGTCTTCCACTTGACGGAGTAGTACCGGACCTCAGACGCCTTCTGGTTCTTGGTCATGGAGTTGTCGGCCCAGGAGACACGGACCGAGTCCGAGGAGAGAGCGACGGCTTGGACCCCGACTGGGGGGATCATGGGAGTACTGGTGTCAGGCATGGGAGTGGGGTATTTATCAAAGAGGTGGAAGTGGTCATCCTCAGATGGGTCTATAGGGTCTGGGGGCGGTGGGGTTAACGGGACCAGGGTAATTCATGAAATGATTCCGTGTAATGAATGTGTGATAATGAGGATTTATATAAGTATGAAACAAGCATGAGTTCGGTTTGTTAAGTGGTCATTTACACGAGAGACAACAACATAAGAAACACACAAGATGAGATTCAAGTGAGGAGGGGAGATGCCATGAGAGGAGGGAGGGAGGGAAAAACAGGAGAGAAGAGGAGAGAAAGAGACACAGAATAAGAAGACAGTGGAAGGTAAAGGCTGTACCTAAACAGGAAGTGGACGCTCATGTGCACAGAGGGTTAACGTATGAAACACGTTGAGACACGTTCAGAAGTACATCAAACTGATGGCTAAACCAAAGAAACTGAAAACAGTTTAAAAAAAACTAAACAAACCTGTATCACAAGTGTGACACATTCAACATTTGCATATTTTAAATACATTTACATTTACTTGGTCACTTACTCTTACAGCTTATTGTATCGTCAGCTTTTTCCTGACTTACTGTAGTTGACTTCATCCGCATTACTTGCACATTGGTCAAGCAACATTCTCTCCTCTGTTTCTTCTTGCACTATTTTTGTATTCATTTATTAGACCCTCCAGAAAAACGCGGGCTAAAATCCTTGATTATGCGATCAAACATGGTTTTATGTGATTTTATGCGGTGAAATTGCGGGAAGTTGCGAAATATGCAGAAAAAATCAATATTGGGCTGTCTTATTTATTTATTCTCTCTCACACACAACCTGCCACTAACGTTAAACCCCTTTACTATTCAATTAAACACATTCAATGTTTATCTATGGTAAAAGCAATTGGGCTATTTTAATCACACACACGCACACACACACACACACTGTAGAGTTATATTTGTATGTATTCATGTTAGCAAACTATGGATAAGCTTAAAATGAGAATAATTTGGGTAAAACTGTGAGCTGGATATGGGGCCTGTTGACATGTGTTTTTGAGGACAAAGGAAGATGGGGGAAGGTGAGAGCATGTCCTGATTTGCATTCAACTTAGAACGAGCTACAGTGGTTGTGATGTTAAGAGAGGTCCCTTGGGTTTCTCTGGTGCTTATCAACAGTAGCAGTTAAGTGAATACTGTTCAAACAATACCTGTGTTTGTGTTTTATATTGATTTCTCTGTTTTATCCTTTCATAAATGTAAGGACTACAAATGGCTATAAACATTCTGGGCTGGTTGGAGTAAACAGGGTTTTATTGCTCTGTGGGGGAGGTGTGGGTATGCAGGCCTTGAGACCTTTTGGTTGTAAGGTGAGCCTGTTTGGTTTCCTGCTGGCCAGTGTTGCGTCTCCCAATGAGATGACCTGAAAAGATGACCAGCTGACCTAACACCAAACCCCTCCTTCTTACTCTGGTATATATCCGGTGGATCCCTGGCGTTCGGCCTCTTCTTCACATGCTGCCCTCGGGTGAAAGTAGCTCTGCAGTATGCGAACCAGGGCAGGAATAAGCCGGCATTACTCCTTAAGCATTACAATATAACTGTAATATATCATGTTGTATTGTAATGATTGTATTGCATTGTCATATTGCCATTAAAGTAGATTATTGTTAACGGTTACTTTGTAGATATGGATTCCTTCCTGTATTATAAACAGCTTCATAGGAACGCGCGGAGATTTGAAAAGCGGACCAGATATCCCTTCAAATCTCCAACAAAATGGTGACCCCGACGTCTAGATATAACGAAGCTGAGGAAGAATTCAGACGCTTTCAAACATCTCAGACAATCAGCAGGACTCTGCAACTTTGCAAATAAGGTAAGCAGACGATGAAAGTCGCCTGTCTGTAATTGGATACGCTAAAACTTTAGGATTGTCTGTAGGCGTTTCACAGTGTTTTTATAGTTTAAATGGAATATACAATGCATATTTTACTATGTTAGGAAAGTTATATACAAAACGTAAACGTTGATCGACAGGTAGACGAAAGTCCTGCGTGACGTAAAATAGAGCAGTTTGGCGTGGATCTGCAGGTAGATTATTCCTGAGTGGCGTGGAGATGGTGCAGTTTGTGTGAATGCGAGGTTTGATTCCTGCACGACAAAACCTGGAAACTCGATATATCAGATCGAGTCGCCGTTTAAAACTGGGGTTTAAATAACAGACCAATGCTAAAAGCTTAAAGCCAGAGGTCTGTTATATATTAAATCGAGGGAGAGCGTTTCCCTTTGTCTGGAAACTTCTGCTGCTGCCATCTAGTGGCTGAAAGGGGGTATCACACCCTTGAAACTTCTGCTGCTGCCATCTAGTGGCTGAAAGGGGGTATCACACCCTTGAAACTTCTGCGAGCTTAGAGTTTAATCATTACATTGCTGGCCGGTATTGAAGACGGGAAGCACGTTCCCAGTATATTAATTATAACTGATTTTGGAAAACTGGTACAAAACAATAAGGGATTGAACATTTTTTACAACGACAGCACCACGAGATGAGTAAACTCAACAATCTGTAGAGTGTAAATACATTGTGCAAAACACATTTTACACTCGAACTGTTTGCACATCATAGACAAGGAATTTAGACAATATAAATAAATGTTCAGAAAGAAGACATAGGCCTACACTTGATTCAAATTTCATTACTGTGATCCGATTGGTGTGCTCTGCAGGTTTACTATTGTTCGAAGTAACAGTGGGATTTAAAATGAGAGAAGATATGGAGATGTTCTTTCATAGTGTGTGGAATATGTGATGCTGGAAACATGTAAGTATTTCGGAGTTGTGTTGGGTAAATATGTAACAATGGATGAGACAATTTTTGGAGTGAGTTTTTGTAATATCATAAGTAGACATTAATTATGTTGTTTAGATGGCATTTAACAACTAAGACAGATAGTATGATTAGAAAGAGACAGAGTGGAAAGGGTTGGATTTATTTAACATCAGTGGGCTAGACTTCTTATAGGTAATGTGTACCGGGACCTGGACTCCCCCTCTGAGTTAGAAAGGCTTTGATCCCGACCCTCCAAGCAGACAACGAGACCTAACCCAACAGGAGACTCCTCCTTCTCCATCGTACAGACAGAGAACCAGAGCTGAACCAACAACGACCTGAGGCATCCAGAACCAAACCAGCATGCTGACAAAGAGGCAAACTCTCATCGGTCCCTCAAACAGGACATGAAGTTCCAAACTGCGCCGCGAGATTTGGCACAATAGACATGAGAGCAGAATCCGCCCTCCATAAAAACAGCAGAGAGACTGTAAAGGAGGAGTGCAACAACAGTGGCATGATGGGGCTGCAGATGTAACTGGGCCAATGGCTGCCTAAAAGAGTTACAGCGGATGGATTCAACAGCTGATGGACTGAAGAGAAGACAGAATCAGAGGAGTTGGCATGGTCGATTAGAAGTGAGGAGGCCGGGGTCACGGCTTGAGAAAACCAGGGGAGGAGGAAAGGAGAACGGGAATGAGTGAGTTACACATAAACACACTTATTCACGAAACGCACATTTAAATAACTTGAATTAACTTCATAAATACATAAAGACAGAAAGATTTATTAATCATTTGGTAAATTAAAAATAGCAGTAAAGAGGAAACTATTAAAGTAAAATGATAATCATCCTAAAACACACTGACAGAGTAGAACCATATTCTTCAATATTTTCATCAGGTTAACAAATCATTCTTTAAGACCTTTTTATTCACGTGTGAATAAAGTAGTGATCTCATTGGTTACAATATTGATCACCATTAAAAGGATAGTTTTAGGAACCACTCTATAGGACAAATCTTTGTTTGTATTAATGGCTGGTGCCAAGCCACATATTAAATTCCAATCTAGAGTGTTGATTTCACCATTGTGGCATAGTTATTACCAGACTTCGGTTTTAAATCCTTGATAAAGGAGGGAGTAATTGTTGCATGTTCGGACACCCAAGGTTCCACACACTGCTAAATACTTTAACATTGTTTTTTAAGTAGACCAGAATTGTAATGAGCTATGAAATGCAGAGCGACACAGATCCTAGTAATGTTTTGACTCAAGATAATAGTTATGTACAAAAGTTTCTGAAATAGATCATTAGACATTCTAATACTAATTAGGTGTAATTGGATTGCAGTAGTAGTGGTACTCGAAGGAAGTGAGTTTGTACCAAGTTTCAGGAAAAGTGGGAGGCAGAAGTCCCAATGACAAGTGAGAATCATCTTGAAAATTATAGTTGAAATCGTGACATATTTTTGTAGACAAAGGATACTGGCCTATGCTGAAATGTCAAAGTCTCTGCAGAGCACGACACATGGCCAAAAAAGACGGAGACCAACTGACCTTTGACCCTGACCGACAGTGTAACTTGACAAGGCACTGTGGATGACTGACTCTGGGGTGAACCTGACCAAACTTGACATGACAACCAGACAGTGTGAGTGTGAATGAATGCCGGCATGTGATCAGTGTAACTGCATGATTCTAAAACAATAACTAACCAAGCATGTTTTTGGACTAACATATTATTTTGGAGCTCCAAGGGAAACGAGAGGTTTCCTAAAAATTCCACAAAAAGGGGAAACCGCACATGTGATATTTTCCTCTCACATGAGTTGGCGGTTTGCAAATGTAAAACTACAATCTGAAGATTCTGTTTCTTTTAGGCCTGAAGGACGGAGAGGAACACTTCTTTTCACTGAAGTGTTCACTGTGGAAATAATGATAATAATGTTCGTTATGTCCCTAACCAATTACCTGACAGTTTTTGTTCCCCTCCCATTACAGGCTTTTGTTACACATTATTTCATGTGTAAAAGGGGGGAGTGAGTATAATGTATAAATGTCAACATGGCTGTAAAATTCACAATTTAAATTTTTCTTTTAAGGATTGACAGAAACCTTCCGCCCCAACCCAGATGTTCAAACTGAGCATTGAATGTAATTAACCTGCTCCATATCTGGGGATAAGATACT